GAGAGAGAGAGAGAAAGAGAAGAGGCCTCCTCGTTACGGAGACATTCTACGAGCGAGACGCGTGTCCTGCCTCCGTAATCGAGAATCGAAGAGAGCGAGAGATGAAAACAAGGAGCGCTGCTCCCAAGGGACTTTCGAATACTCCGATCGGCGACAGAAACGCGATTTTTGCGACGCCGTTAGGGTGAACGCGCTTTCTAAAACGTAACCGCGCTGACTGCTTTTGGCTTTACATGAACACCGCGAATCGAGCATGTAACTTCGATTCCGTAACTCGATGAATGAGGAACTTCATTAAGAAGCTTATCAAATTCCAGGAAATAAAAAATATTTATAAAAACGAGAGAAACTTATATATATTTATAAAATTATAAAAAAAAAAATAATCACATTTCTCGAGACACTTTTTATCAAAGTAATTTGATTCATTTCTATAAATGTGAGTTTTCGATTCTGGGCGTTTATCAAATATCGAAATATAACGATGTGAGGCGGAAGCAAAAAAAGGAAAAAGGATAATAAATCCGAGTGTACTCTCCGGCGGGAGAGGAGAGAAGGAGAATTTCACCTTAACCCAATAAATGATTAGTGTGCCGTACGAGTGCCGGGAGAGTGCGGTGCGGCATAAATGCTCAATCAGTATGCGTGCGTACCGGACAATCCGCTGTAAATCACGTGCCGTGAATCATTCGCCGACATAAATCTAGCCTCGGTCTCTGATCAATACGCTCCTAACCGGTCCGACACATTAGTTAAACGCGATACTAGTCGCCGTCACGTTTACGGGACACATGGGACACGCGAGGTGGACCTCGCGTGACGCCCTCCACAAAAAGCGTCGTTGATGCCGATGGCCTAATAGCGCCGATTCGAGAGAATCCACGACAAAACGATATATCATCGGCAAGACGTATGTCTCCGATCGTTGGTCGGATATTGATTTATTGGATATCGTCGCGAGCCAGCTCCGCGGTAACAAATCTGCTCTCTTTCATAATCAAACGACATTAAATCTTACAGATAAAACTGGATTGGATTAAAAAATGTTTAAAACAATGTGTGTGTGTGTGTGTGTGTGTGTGTGTGTGTGTGTGTGTGTGTGTTT